GCATTCCCCAGTGCCTCTGTTCCCCACGAAAGCTGTGTGCTTCCCACCGTTCTATCTATGTTCACAGCCTGGAATGTGCCTCTTGCCAATCTCCCTTGGTTGAAACCCACTCAACTTTTCCTTCCTCCATGAAACTCTTCTAATTTTCCTTGGCAAAGTTGTCTTGCCTCCTGAAGCACCTTCTTGGTGGGGCTTTCATTAACAGCACATACTGGCTGTCCCATGGGTGATTATCTGTTACTCATTCTCCCACTGTGCTTCTAGCTTCCTGAGGACATGGGCTCTGTGCTTTGTTCATCTTAGCAGACCTTGCAGAACTGAGTTAGGCACATCATATGCCTTTGTTAACAGAATAAATGGATGGATGGATAGATAAATCAATGGATGGATGACAGACGGGTTGGTGATGGATGGATAAATGGATGGGTGGAATGTATAGATGGATGTATGCATACATAGATGCATGGAACAGAAGGATGAATGGATGGATGAATGGAGCAACTTTTCTCTAAAAGGACTCAAAAAAGGCTATGTAATACCAGGGGCTTCCAGGAAGGGAGCTGCTCCTCCCCCCATCATGCCAGCACACCCAGAAGAGGTCACAGTATCCAGGTTGAGCCTTCCTTTGCTAATATATACATCCTTAGTGACTTGTCTCCCAAAGGTCTTGATATATTCCCACTCCCAAGAAGTCACAGTCTGGGAGTTGCTCCTTCCTTCTTGCTCCCCTGGACCTTCTGGAATGAATGCCTTAATTAACTTATTATTTTGTACTGCCTGCACTATAATGATTCTGTAGGTTTCTTCTTATGCATCCCTCCCCCCCCATCTCACACACGCCCTGAATTTTGAGCTCCCTGAAGATAGGAACCATGTCTGAATGTCTTGTATATCCCTGGGGCCTGGCATACATGTTTATTGGGTAAGTGAACAAATGAATAACTGAGAGAATGCTGACTCTTTTCCCACAGATGCACTTTGCACACTTCCCATGGATTCATGTTCAGCCATCTCTCCTGGTCCTCCCCTCCTCACACACACACACACACACACACACACACACACACACACATACTCCTGACTCTGATTTCTCTACAAGTCCCAGAGTTATGGTCTGATTGTTTCCTTTACTAATTTGTGGCTGATCCTGGAAGTCCCAGGGCTCTCCCGAGAGTCTGAAAGGGGAGGAGGCTCCTAGCTCCTCGAAAGCCACATTAACTGGGCTCCATTTGGAACAGAAAAGGGCTTCCCTGGGAAGAACCTGGCTGCAGGGAGGGCAGTGGGGTCCCGTGGTAACCTGAGGAATGCTGCCCCAACCTGGCCACGCCCTCCTGCCTCTGCTGTCCCTGCTCCTGACCTGTGACGCTGTCCCGAGGTGGGGGGTGGTTGTGGCAGAGACAGCCAGATTTAGAAGTAATTTTCGCAGCAGGGAGCCTCCAGCCTGCCACCCACAGGGCCCTTGGAGCCAGTCTGAGATATGGCTCATCAAGGGCTGCCCCCAGACCTGCAGTCGCTCCTCCCCTTCTCCCCAGATCTTTAGCAGCTGGTGCTGACTCCATTCTTAGGCAAAGTTGGAGGAAGTCCTGGGGTGGGAGCACGTGACTTTGACACCCTAACCACCCAAGGGCTCCTAGTATACCATTCAGCCATTCAAGCAGCTTGTCCCCACCCCAGGGATCCCCTCTCCTCTGGATCTGGCCTCTGCTGCCTCTTCCCCCTTTTCCCTATCCTCACGCTCCCATAACCCCAACACTAATGAAATAGCCCTAGAGAGAAATAATAATCAGAACTCAACACTTATATATCACTTACTAGGTACCAGGCATTGTTCTCAGCGTTTCACATATTGAATCATTTAATCCTCCCAACAAGACTATGAAAGGAACACTATTAATAATCCAGCTTTATAACTGACACCAAGACACAAAGAGGTTGAGTAACTTGCCAAGGTCACACAGCTAGTATGAGATAGAGGCAAGATTCAAACCCAGGCCACATAGTCCATGTCCTAAATACAAGACTACCCGAGTTTTCTGACAATGGTAGAGAGAAGTAGAGGCAGGGGAAGAGGAGGAAGAGGCAGCAGAGGCCAGATCCAGAATGGGTAAACTCTTAAAAACTGGCCTCCTGGGTGTTCAGCCTCTAAGAGGCTCAGGCTGTGAGGTGGAGCACACCTTCACAGTGCCAGCCCCTCCCATACAGCTCACTCTTCTACCAGCCTCAGAGCCCTGCCTCCTTGGGCTATAGCACAATCCAGGCAGATACGGTCACCACTGCCCTGACCTTCCTCTCTCTGCCTCCTAGCCTGAAGTTCACTCTTTTCTCAAGCCCAGAGGTCAAAGGCACACACTCCTCAGCTGGACCAGGCTCATCCCAACCTGGCCTCAGTTTTCCTTCCTTCCTTTATCTTCCACAACTCCCCCAAATGTACCCTCAACTTCAGTAAAACCAGACCACTTCTCCCACATCCACACTTCTTCTTTTTGCTGTTCTCTCTACCTAAAACCCCTTTCCCCAAATTCAGTCTTTTTTTGTACTTGACACCCACTGTTTAATTTTATCGTTACTTGTGTGTTTTCACCTTCACCCCTTGTCAAGCAGCCCTTACTCCTCTTTCCTGGAGTCCTGCCCAATTCCTGGTTCCTCTCAAGTGCTCAGTAAATGCTCAGTGGTTAGAACCTGCAGTAGATATAATTGTAGGTGGAAGGGAGCCAGACCTCAGGAACCTTTGATCTCTGCTCAAGGTGACCCCCACTTCCTTTACTTCCTCTACCAGGAGCTAACTGGAAACCTGGCAGTGTGGGTTTCAGGCAGGTTCTGGGATAGACCTTCCCTGGGCGACTCTGATCAACATTCTCCCCTCAGGTTCAGCAGCCCAAAGAGGACCTCCCTTCCGCTCCAACAAACCAAGGCCAGGCAGCCAGCTCAGGGCCCCAGCCCCGTCCCCATCCTGCACAGTCTCTCCAGGTGCGCGTGGAGAGTGATGTGGAGATAATTGGAGACCAAAACCATAAGTGGGTTGAGAGCAGGATTGGTGATCTGAACGCTGAGCCAGAGTTGGAGTTGGCGGGACTTGGGGGGGGGGGGGGGGGGCAGAGGCGGAGTGGAGGGCAGGGCCAGGCAGGACTCTGAGACTGAGTCTGGGCGAAGCCCCCGCGCCCGGCGAGTCGGCGGCTAAATTTACCCAGGCTGACTCAGCCCTTGCCCGGAATGGGGGGTGGGGGGAGTGCGCGGGGCAGTGGGAAGAGCCAGCGGGGGTGGGGGGCAAGGAAGGGAGAGTCCGCACTGGGGGAGACAGGAGTGGGCCGGGAGTTTCCATCAAAGAAAGGAGTCCCCCCCCCACTCCCCCTTCCTGCCCCCCAAGCAAGAAGGAGCGGAAGAGCCCTGTGGGTGGAACGCAGTGGGGACAGGGTAGGTGAAAGGAAGAAGAGGCCAAGGTTGGACAAAGGGAAGCTTAGATTTATTGAGCGCCTACCGTGTGCCTGGCACTGTGCAAGGCGCTTTACATACATTATCGCATTAAATCCTCACAACAACCCTGCGAGGTAGGTGTTTCTATACCCCCATTTGACAGATGAGGAAAGTGAGGCTCAGGGAGGTGAAGTGATTTGGCCAAGTTCACATGGCTAGTAAATAGAGAGGAAGTGTCCAACGTAAGAGAGCAAAAAAGACCTCAGAGTCGGGGTCCCAAGCCAGATAAATACAAAGAGGGACTCATTCAGAGGCCTGCTCCCGACCTCGCACACCTGGAGGCGGCAAGACTGGGGATGGAACCCCGCGCTTTAACTGGGGATCAATTGATTTACTGGCCTGTGGGAGTAGGAAGGACTCGCGGACTAGCTACGGGGGAAATCCGCGACCTGCGCGCGCCCCATAGTGGCTACAGCGAGGATCACACCTATACCCACAGGCTTTGGGGACCGCCTCCCTCTTCCTTCTTAGCAGTTTCTGGAAGAGGCAGAGATGCAAGAAATTCTCAGGATTCTTTCAGATGAATGATACCACCTGGGTGGAAAGTCATGGCAACGATTCAGAGCATCACTAAGAAACACTGGGGAGGAGGAAAGAGGAAGGTCTGAAGAGGTCCCAAGCCGATTGTCTGCCTTCCCTCTCCTGCTTGGACCACCACAGGCCAGGGACAGTGACAAGGCCATCATCCTGCCCTGACTTGGGTAACCCTCACCTAAACCTGAAAGACTGGGATAGGAGCCCTTGCCCATTTACTCAGCTCTTCTGCAAACCCTGGACAGTCTCTAGAATTGAGAATGAGTGCTGGTGACCATGAAGCCACCCTGAAACCCGCAGACTCTATTCATCTATTCCTAACTCTTTCTTGGCTTGTGAAGGGAAGGATGAGATAAAAGCTTCCCCAAAGGCTCCAAAACGACATGGATGGACCTTAGAATCCCTTCGTTTTACATATTAGGAGGCCTGGAGAAGGAAAGCGACTTGCCTAAGGTGCCCCAGGAAGTGAGTGTCAGAGTTAGGACAGGAACCCAAGACTTGTGACATCAAAGTGAGCCCTCTCCCTGCTTTGCTGGCTGCTTCTGGACTCCCTCCTCTTCTGCCAAGGGATTCTCTGTCACCTGTTCACTTCAGTCCAAAGCCTCTCCATCACTTTCTCCCTCCTGCCCAGAGGCCCTTCCCTGAAGTTGCCCTCTCATGACTATACCATTCCTACCCTCCTGCCTACTCTTGGGCAGGCTTCTCTGCTCAACTCTGCACCCAGGGCAGCAGCTACCTCTGCTGAAGCCCTTACCAGCCTGACCTGAAAGGAGCAGGCATTAAAGTCTACTGTTCACCTGACCCCTCCTGATTTTTTTTTTTTTAATACAGCCCTAGCCAGTTTGGCTCAGTGGATAGAGTGCCGGCCTGAGGAAGGAAGGTCCAGGGTTTGAGTCTGGTCAAGGGCACGTACCTCGGTTGCAGGCTCCTCTCTGGCCCAAGCCCTGGTCCAGCCACATGCAGGAGGCAACCAATCAATGTGTTTCTCTCACGGATATTTCTCTCTGTCTTTCCCCCTCTCTTCCACTCTTTCTAAAAATCAATGGGAAAATATCCTAGGGCGAGGATTTTTTAAAAATTACAAATCAGCATATGTTCCCTTTCCTTTCATTTGGGCGGCTTCTTTTTGGGTTATGGGAACCGGTATAGGTAAGGGGTACAAGGAAGTCTGTGAGGAAGTAGGGGCCAGTGGGCCCAAGGATGGATGGGTTGGGAAGCACAAATACAACAAAGAGCCTCTCACTGCCGCTCCCTGTTTCTCCGTGGGGCCCCCGTCGTGTTCCTCTCTCCAGAAAGGGCCTCCCCGGTTTGGCTGATGACATCCAGAATCTCTCGGATGCTGTCGTGCCGCTGTGTGGTCTTCCCGCCTTCTCGGCACCCGGCTCGCTCACTCCGCCAGGGGGCGCCGGAGGCTTCTGTGTCGCTTCCGTCAGAGGAGCTGCTATGGGCGCTGAGCTCCGCAGCTTCGTCCGAGTCCGAGTCAGGGGCGGTGTGGCGGCGGATGCGGGACACGGCTTCCCGCAGGGCCCCGGCGTAGGGCCCCGGGGTCCGCGCCCAGCCCCGCCCCGCGTGCCGGGGGACCCCCGCCACTCCCCCCGAGCCCTCGGCGCTATTCGCGCCTCCTGAAGCCGCTGGGCCTGAGACTGAGCGCCCCAGGCTACCTGGCTGCGTGGGGGCATCTTGCAGGTTGACTTCGTCCGCCGGGAGCCCCAAGATGCGGGAGGCGCGCTCCTCCAAAGAGGGATCCGCGGGCTTCCCGCCCTCAGCTTCGAACCCGCGCCCCCCGTGTGGCTGTTGTGAAAGGCGGCTGCTGGACAGCAGCTTTTGGCAAGGGGAAGGCAAGGCCGCGGCCGCCTCCCCCTCCTCCTTGCTGGGCTTCGGTGGGCTGGGGGCATCGCCCACAGTGCGGGGCACCCCAGCCGGCAAAAGCTGCACGCGCTGGGTTCGAGGGGTCGGGACATACTGGGACCTTATCACCACGCACGTGGCGTCAATGACAAAAATGCCTTCTCCACGAGCAGGGCCGCTGGAGCTGCGGGGCAGGGTGTGGGCGCGGCGGGCGGCCTGCCAACCCTCCGAGGGGCCGGCCCTCTCTCTACGACCCAGGGACTCTCTCGACCCCGTGCCTCCTGGAGCCCAGGGTCTGGGGAGGGTCTGGCTATGCGGAGGCGGATGCTTTTTAAGGGAGGGAATCCAGGATTTGGGGAGCCAGTTCTGTTCTCTACCTTCTTTCCCTTCCCCGGGGCCCTGGAGATGGGGCCTGGACCTGGGGGCGGGACGCGGGGGGCTGGGGGTCTCCGTGGCAGACCCCGCAGGAGCCGCTGCCCCGCCTGGGTCCCCCGCAGTCTTGGCGCGGGTGTGGCCGTCGCCGCCACTGTTCCGGCCAGCAGCAGCTGGCCCCCGGCTTTTCTCTGCGGCCCCCTGGCGGGGCTCCAACCTCGGCCTGGCCGTTCCAGAGCCTGGGGATCCCCCCAAGAGACCCCGCTCCTGCCGAAGACCCCAAGCCCCGAGGACGTCCCGGTAAATCCGAGGATCCAGCCTTTTCTTTGTGCCCCCTCCCTCTGTCCTGGCCGGAGTCTGAGCAGGGGCTGCTGAGACGGGCGCCTGGGAGGGCTCGGGGCCTCGTTTCGCCCCCAGAGTCCTGTGGGGTCCTTCGTAAGAAGGTGGAGCCACATAGGGCGGCGGGCGGTCCCAGCGGCGTCGTGGGGCCATCCCCGCGGCGGCTCTCAGCAGCAGGTGAGCCTCGTAGCTGGGGGGCCCTGGCCTCCGACCTCCCCAGGGCCCCACCCACGCCGCCCTGGGGTCGCTCTGCGGCTGCGCGGATGGACGGGGCGGTCGCCCCACCGGCCCCAGGCGCTCTGGCCGTGAAGGAGCTGGGAGCCTTGCAGGCTGTGCCACCCGAGGGGCGTTCCGAGGCTCCGGGCGCGGCCGACCCGGGGGGCTCCTTCGGGCCCCACCAGCCTTGCGCCTTTTTCGCTCGGTCTCCTTGGCCTCCCGCTCTTGCGATGCCGCTTTCCTTTTCTCTTGCTCCCGCGCTCGGGCCTCGGCTGGGGGCCCCGCCCGCCAGTTGGTCGCCTCCTGCAGCACCCTGGCGGCCCAGGGCCGGCGGGGAGGCGGCTCAGGGCATCCCGGGCGCGGCCCACACCTGGGACAATGAGCAGGAACCCAGGTGAGCAGTTTGTGGGGGAAGGGAGCCGAGGTCCGGGGAGCTGGGAGCTCTACAGACCACTTTGGGCAGCCATGTGGAAGGGTGTGTGTGTGTGTGTGTGTGTGTGTGTGTGTGTGCGCGCGCGCGCACGTGCACATATATGTTGGGGCTGAAGTCTAAACGGGATTTTTCAGCATCCCTCCATGCACACTTTACCGGCGTCTGCCCCATCTCACCTCCTGCCCTTTTCACACCCATGCCTGTTTCCCCCGGACAACGCGGGATAGGTCAAACTCTAGCTCTCCGGATGGGTTGGGGGCGCGTGGGAAAGAGAAGGGGGCGCAGCAGCGCTGGCTGTGCCTGGGGGAAGTCCGGACCCACCCCACCACGCTCTTCCCCTCACTTCTCCACTCACGTGTGGCTCTGGGGCTCGCGGATCCAGTGGCCGGCCTGGAAGTCCATGGTCTGTCGAGGAGGGGCTCGGGGACTATAATGACAGGAAATAGTCTTCACTTGGATCACCAGCAGCTTGGATTTCTGCACCCAGAGGCAGCTTCCAGACTCCTCATCCTGGAGCTCCCGGGGGCTGTCAGGCCCCTCGGAGAATAAATGACCATCCAGCATCCTGCCCCACCCCACCCCGTCCCCCACCCTCCCACCCGCCCCCGAGAGCCCCCTCCCAGCCCAGGAAGCCGGCGCCCACTGCAGAGCGACAGGCCCAGCGACTGGGGACTATATATACCCGGGCACACGTGTGTGCCTGTCTGTGTGTGTGTGAGCGCATGTGACATGGCGGGGATGGCTCCGCGCTGCTACCTCCCCCATGTGCATGGCCGCCCCCTGGGGCCCGGATTTGGGAGCCCCTTCCCACTTCCCATGTCCCCGAAGCCTGGTGGAACCTGCAGGAGTGGGCAGGGGACTTCTTACTGCCAAGCTGACAGTGCCCCCTCCCCCACCCCTGTTGCTTCAACCTTCCTGCTATTTTAACCCTTCACTCCCCTCCTTGTCAAGGTGCTTGACCACCAGGGTTCTGCCCTTGACTTCTTGCCTCAGACTTCAGGGACTTCAGTTTCTCCGACAGGGAGGTGATGGAAATGGAACTTAAGGTCTCTGCCTGCCACTCTTGCTGGTTTCCATGGGGTTGGGGTGCAGGAGGGGCTGGCCCAGGCTGGGGGGCTATTTTTAGCGGCAGTGGCATTCGGGTGCAGAGAGGAGATGAGTAACCAGCTTCCATGTGGTGGAAGGAGGAGGCAGTAGCTTTCATGTGACTGGGGGGAGCTGTCCTCCCCTAGCTCAAAAGGGTGACCCCCATCCCCTTAACTGTAGCCCGGCTGCTGGGACAGCAGGAGAAAGGAATTTCTTAGCCATGGAAACGGCCCCTCACTCCCGTGTTCTAGATGTTTGTCCTTGGGCACCCATGGAGCCCGCTCCCTGCAGCATGCTCTCTCACAATCCAGAATTTTGGGGTCATACTGTTCTGTGCCCACACAGCTCTGCTTAGCCTTATGGAGGATAGACTAGGGTGCTTATGCATTTATTTGCACCCTTTCGGAGGATGGAGGAGTGGTGTGCTCCCTTGGCAAAACTAATCCCCTAGCAACTGAGATGATAAAAGTGGCCCGTTTTCCAGCATATTGCTCCCCGTCACCACTACCACAATGCCTAGCTCACTCAGCCCCCACCTGAAGTGGTGCTCAAGATGCTCACCTTTTAGGCTCATTCTGTCCTGGGGAGTTACATTCACATGTCCCCCCCCCTCCCCAAGCCCATACCAGGTGTCCCCTGATTCACCATGGTAATGTTAGTGGCAGCACAGCCCACGCCAACTCTTCCATGCAGAGACTTAGCAACCATGCCTGGCAACCATGGCAGCAGCTCCAGCAGAGGGGAGGGGTGTGGGGTGAGGGAAGAAAGTGTGTATGGCAATGGTTCCTGAGAAAGAAGGAATCATTTGCTTCTCCTGAGAATAGGTGAGAATAGGTTATGAGGCTCCAAATTTTGTTCCTTATCTTTCCTTCTGCTCCATCCTCAGACTCTGAGACTGGTTGGGTTTTAACAGGGAATGGGGAAGCAGGAGATCCTAATTTGTTTTCCACTAACATATCTGCAGCCCTTTGGGATAGACCCTTCCCCAGAAGGGTTGTTTTGGGGCAGACCAACTTAATTGAGAACCAGAGCAACAGAACACAGGCCTCCTGCTCCCTAACATGGACTTTTTAAAAGAACCCATATATCCCCTATCCCATCCATTGACACCCCCCCCCCATCCCCCTTACACCTACCAGTTGCGCTGATGGCTCTTTGCTTGAAGGTGCTTCCCACCAGAGTACTAAGGCTTTTTAAAGTCCTTGCCTCCTCCCTAGACAAATCCTACTTCATGATGGGATGTGACAAGGAGACATCTGTCCTTTCCTCCATGCACTCACCCCCACACATATAAACATGCTCTAATTATAATAACTTGGAATGTCTCCCTCCCTCAAGTCTAGGAATGTGCTGAGAACGGTGAAGAGGTGAATGCAGAAGCAGGGGCTTCTTCAAAGCCAGGATGTAGCACTGGAAGCTGCCTTGCTTTCCCCGTGTTCCATCAGGAAGCCTGGTTTGGAGGGACCGATATGGTATGGTTGGGATCATTAGGGTTCTTGGGCAAGTGGGGGTAGGGGCAAGGTGCTACTCTGAAATTGCTCCTCGTCTTGGTATCCAAGATGGAAATGGTATAATACCTGCAAAGCAGTGGTGAGATGCTTTGAATTTGGCTCATACCCAACAGTCTAGGTGTCCTTATACTGTTTTGTGTTTTTTTTAAAATATATTTTTATTGATTTCAGAGAGGAAGGGAGAGGAAGAATCATTGATGGGCTGCTTCCTGCAGGCCCCACACTGGGGATCAAGCCTGTAACCCAGGCATGTGTCCCAACTGGGAATTGAGTTGTGACCTCCTGGTTCATAGGTCGATGCTCAACCACTGAACCACGCCAGCTGGGCTTGACTACTGTTTTGGCCCATATGGTTTCAGCACAGGGAAAGGGTTTGATGGGGTGATCATAGTTCTGCTGCTCCCCCACTGCATACCCTACAGCTCATTCTCACTTTGGAAATTCCAGGTTCAAAGACAGTGCCAGTTCAGCAAAATCCAAATACAGAGTCCAACCTTTTGATGGTGGCATATCTCCGTCTACTCTCTGGAGACCTAACACTGTTATGTGATTTTCCTGGGATATCAGCTACGGTCCAGGCAGAAGGGGACGTGGGGGTGATAAGGATTGTAGGGAATAAAGTGAGAACAGTTTTTAATGGAGATTTAGAAAGGTAGTAAGTCTAGTATAGTGATAAAGAGCACGCGCTCTGGTGCCAGCTGGGCTTACATGCTAGCTCTGTACTTTTTACTAGCTGTGTTGCCTTGGGCTAGTTAGCCTCTCTGTGCCTTCGTTTCTTTTAAATCTATAAAACTGGAATATCTACTATTGTTCTGAGGAGTAAATGAATTAGTATATGTAAAGCCCTGAGAATGATGGACAGTTTTCTATAAAGCATGTTATTGTAATTAATGAGTTGAAGAAGCCATATGAAGTAGAAAGGTTGGAGCAGTAGTGACTGTCTGTCAACTACAAAAAGCAAACACTGCAATATCATGAAGAGGTTCCTGTCATTTTAATTAAGTTTGCCATGAAAAGCAATAACCTTAGCTAACCACTTTGCAGTCCTCCTCCACCCAATCCCACTTCTCTTCGTATGAATATAGCACAGGAACCCAAGGCCTTCCTCCCCATGATCCTCCCCACTCCCATTATGGGAAGAAATGTTATGAAATGGACTCAGCCTCCCCCATACAGCATGAAACAGGATGAATAAAAATATTTTTATGAAGAGCTGTGCTATGGTGGAGGGAGTCAGGGGCAGAGATAGAGGCAAAGACTGGATCTCGTAGAGATCAGAATTTGTCCAAGCGGCACAGAGCCCATAGTTCACCCAGAATGGGGGCATGTCTAAGAGGACAGGGCCTGGGATAGGCTAGGCTGGAAGTTTTCCTCATGTGTGAGGATAGGACAGCTACAAATCCATTCCCCTTCCTTTCCCCATATCTTCCCTGGCTCTCAGGTAGAAGGGTAGAGGTCTCCTGGGCAGGGAACAGAGTCACAATTCTCTCAAGATTTCATCTGTGGTTCCAAACTTTGTACAGGCAGTGAGTGGGCATAACCCTTGCTGCCACCTGACCCCTTCCCCTAGCTCAGGGCTTTTCTCCGCCTGTGAGCACCAGGGCCTGCAGGATGTCTGACAGTGAGACAATTCCCTTGACCACATCATTCTCATCCACCACTACAAGTCGGTGAACCTGCAGAGAACAACAAGGGAGAAAGGGATATTAGTGCCAGCTTCAGGGAGAGCCCTCCTTGCCAAACCCCAGCTTCTTTGGGGTCACTGGTCACCCTACCTCTGCTTCCACCAGCCTGTTGATGATGGTCTCCAGAGTTTCATGCAGGTAGCACTTAAGGACACCCTCAAAGTAATGTGATCGATGTTGGAGGGCTTTGGTCACAGACACATCTAGGTTGTTGTAGGTCTTTTCTGCTGCCAGATTCTGGGGAGAGAGGGGAAGGTGCTTGCAGAGAAGCAAGGGAGCCAGCCCCCAAACCCTGAGTCCACCCAACCCCAAAGGGATTTAGGGCAGTTGTCAGCCACGCCCACAAGCCACACCCAGCTCATTCAATTATTTTTCATATAAAATCTGAAAGCTTGGAAGCTTCTTAAAACCCTTAGATCCCAGAAGAGACTCTCTTCTTTTCCCTCTCCACATCCAACATGCCACCCCTTTCCCTACCTCCCAGCCCCTCCCCAATCACTCACGATAACATCAAACTTGGAGTAGATGTCCACCACACGCCCTAGAGGGACAGAGGTAGCTCAGCAAGGAGGATCTGACATCCAAGACTCCCCCTGGCCGTAGGTAGAATCACCATCCTGGCTGAGCTAAGGGGGAAGCAGATTTTCCCAGAGCCACCCTGACTTCCTTGGAGCCTTCCCTCTCCTTCTGACCACTCTCTCACCTTTTTCATCCACCACAGGCAGGGCCGAGACTCGGTGCTGTACGAAAATGCCCAGAGCCACGTAGACAGGGGTGGTAGTGCGGACCATAGCAATGTTGGCATAGGTGCCAATCTGTAGCTCTTCCAGAGACTTAGACATGAACTCTGGCTTGGGGAACTCAGTGATCTGAGGAAGGAACCATCACCTTGATTTTCAAGGCTCCCCATATCACCCTTGGATACCTTTCCAACCGAGTATATAATAAGTAAAAACTGGGCTGAGGAGCACTTACAAATAATTTGAGGAACTTGAGGATGCGCTTGTGGGTGAGGATGTACAAGGTGTTGCCTGATTCTGGGTCAATAACTGGCAGCCTATGAATCTTGTTCCGGATTAATGAAGAGACGGCATCAAACAAGCTGTGGGAAGATGGGGGACAATGGTAAGTTCCACAGTGCTGGGCCTGAGGCTGGGCCTATCTCTGCCCCTGACTCCCTCCACCATAGCTCAGCTCCTTAGTGTTTATAAATGGAAAACTGATGGTTGGGAGAAAGAAGGGGAGCAAGTGTGTGAATGCAAGTGTCTGGGAGTCTTTTCTTTCTTCTGCCCCTGAATCTTCGGGTATCTAGTGCTTTAGCTATGCTGATGGCAAGGCTCTTCCTCTTCTGAACAAACTAGAGGCCTGGTGCATGAAATTTGTGCAGAGAGGGGGTGTCCCTCAGCCTGGCCTGCACCCTCTCCAATCTGGGACCCCTTGGGGGTTGTTAGACTGCTGGTTTAGGCCCTATCCCAAACTGACAGTAGGACATCCCTCTCACAATCTGGGACTGCTGACTCCTAACCACTCGCCTGCCTGCCTGATTACCCCTAGCCGCTTCTGCCTGCCAGCCTGATCGCCCCCTAACCGCTCCCATGCCAGCCTGATTGACGCCTAACTGCTCTCCTGCTGGCCCGATTGCCCCCAACTAACCTCCCCTGCCGGCCCAATTGCCCCCAACTGCCCTCCCCTGCCGGCCTATTCACCTCCAACTGCCCCCCTGCTAGCCTGGTTGCCCCCTACTGCCCCCGCTGCCGGCCTGGCCGCCCCATACAGCCTGCTGTTCAGTCGTTTGGTCGTCCCTCACTAACCACCCTGCCAGCCTGGACGCCCCACGAAGCCTGCTGTTTGGTTGTTACTGTTACTATGATGGCGTCCCAGACAATATGCATATTCCTCTATTATTAGTATAGATGGGTAGCTAGAACTTACCTGGCATTAGGAGAAATGCAGACAAGTGGTTTAAAGGAGTCCTGTAAGTATACCTCTGAAAGGAAAAAAAGGTTCACAAAATACCACCATGGAAAATCATTTCCCAGGAAAATTTCTATCCCTTTACACTCCCACTCCCCACCCCCTTGCCAATTCTCTACATACCTCTCCAAGTTTCAATCTTGTGTTCTTCCAGCTCATAGATTTGTACCTGGAAGCAAAAGCAACAGAACTTGAGACGTGACCTCCCTGCTTCATAAACCCCTTGTGGTTTGCTTGAAAGGAAATGAAAATGAGGGGCTTAGGCAGGGAAAGTGGTTTTGGTCATCAGGCTAAGGTCCTTACCAAGGCTGATTTGTAGTAGCGGTGCAGAATATTGATGAAATCAGTGATGGTCAGCATGCCTAGAGGCCAAGACAAGAGCTCTCAGCATTGCTCAAAGCTTTTCTCCGTGCCCAGCACAAGATGCCAATAATACTGTGCTCCAAAAACATTGCTTACCCACAAAACTTTGCTTCTTACTATCCCACAAAGGGGCAGCTCGTACACCATTAGTCACCAAAGCAAAGAAAGCTTTTTTCACCTACAGGCAAAAGAGTTATATTCACAAAGGGAAATTCACGGGCAGGACTTTAAAGGAACAGGGGTTGGGTATGTTGAGAAAAACATGAGACTAACCCTAAAGAAGGACAAGGATATTATCCTTGGGATGAGATAAGATGAGGGGTATTGAACCAGAGGTTCCAAAGAGAAGAAGGAAAAAGTATTTCACCCACCTGCAAGGAAGTGTCAAACACAACCAATTTGGAGCTTGTGGGAATCAGGTCATAGCAGCGATGAGACTTCATGAAGGAAGTATACACACTATTGTTGGATTCTGGGGTCTCTGCATAGGGTGGGATAGTTAGTAGCTTCCTTCCAAGCAAAACACACAATCAAAAAGGCAGAAAATACAACAGTGTTGTTGTTGCTCAAATATTTAGAGCAGATTTTTTATAAGGCACTATATTTTATCTGATTTGTTCCTACTATTCCATTAGGAGTAAACCCTCTTAGAAACCATTTCATCCAACCTCCATTTCCAGGTAAGACTATATCTGTTGGTTCCTTGGCTGACTAAAACAGAAAGTCTACCAGTATAATATTTTTCATTAAACTCTTGTAGTCTAATAGTTTTTTTCTCATCTTTAAATCGTTTTTTCTTTCATATACTTAGCACATTTAAATTATCTTTTCTCAATTAAGATGTAATTAAACTCCTTAAAATTCAAGTAAGCTTCTTTTTCTTCTTCTTCTTCTTCTTCTTTTTTTTAAAGTAAGCTTCAGATGAGAACATCATGGTCCAAGTTGGGCCATTTCAGATTAACATGAAGTTGGAGCCCAGTGCTCAATCAACCTGGACTAAAACACCCTGAGAGTCCATCTTGGGATAACGCTGTGAATGAGAAACCATCCCACCTATTCAGTCAAATGAGACTCTGGCTGTGTTTACCTTTCCAATCTTTTGATTTTAATTGCTTGGT